AACAGAGATTCCCCTCACCACTGCCTTAATTGAAGAGGAAGAATTAATTCAGACTTAATCAAATCAGAAAAAAGTCAAAGATACAAGGAAGGGGATATAGAATTTTATCAAAAACACCGGTCCAATGGACTCAAAGAAGAGTAAGCCTTTCATGTGTATTTAGTCAGGGAAAAAAAACAAATCAAGGAGGCGTTTCCTGCCCCCTAGTGGCTGCCAGGAAATCTAAGCGAAAGGATGGAAAGATTAATGGCTCTTCTTTGTACCCAAATGCCAACTGAGCCAACACCTCTCTCAACAATACCAGAAACGGCCAGGAGGCCCCATCCCCACAGCAGCTCACCCTATCAAGGTTAGGCTCAGTCTGTGACTTCTCTGCCAGGCAGGGTTGCTGGCTCTGTCCACTTCCCAACTGGACAGTGGCTGCCACTGAGTGTCTAACTGGGCTTCCACTTGGCTCTGGAAGTGGTGGCTGGGACATGACCTGGGAGCAGGGCATTGCTGACAATATTCAGAGAACAGCTGGCCTCCCTGGGCCCTCCTGCCATCCCACAGGCTGGATGCACAGCTCTGCACACAGCAGAATTCCCTTGGAACGAGACTGTAGAAAACTCCTAACAAAAATAGAAGCACTTCTCTTTTTGGGGTAACATTTACAACCCCATTTCCAAGTATGATCTTCCACCTCACTTTTCCATCCACTCTGGCATCATGTGATACTGCACAATGTCACTTCTTTTCTGTTCCAAAAAGTGTCACTTGCTTGCCTGGCCTATTTACCATTGCTCTCAGCTCTGTGAAACGGCAATTTTAAGATGCAACGCCTCCTCCAGCATATGCCTGCACACAGAGGAATAATGCAGGAGGCGGAGGAAGAACAGCGAGAGCAGCTGGGGGCAAGATGGAAATAGTCTTTATCAGTTAAAATGTAACTGGATATGGTGACCTGCTGAGCAAGGCAATCTGCACAGCCTGTGAAATGTGGCTGCTTTTCCAGATACCCTGTTGTTTACTTTTGTCCTCAAAAAAACAAACAAAAATGCGCATAATTGTACCAAGGCCTCAAACTCATTTTATTCCCCATTACACCAAGGAGCTCCAGAACCGGGGGCACCACTGGAGGGAGGTCTGAGCCTGGGCCTGTGAATAATTGCTTGTGCCATTCTGTTAGGGAAAGGTAGCCATTAGCCTTCTTACTCTCCTAACATTAAAGTGTCCTTTGTGGATGGCCACTTAAATGAATTTGAATTTCTCGGTCTTGAGAACCTGTTTCGATCCTGAGAATTTATCTAGCAACAGTTCTTTTTATTGCTTTCACAATTTTGAACAGAAATATTTAAATTGCATTGCATGTTTTCTTAGCGTATACTGAAAGTACTTTAACCATTTCCTGGACACTTTCACACAAAGTCAACTATCCATCTGGCTTGAAATGGGTGCACAAGAGGCTCCAGGCCTTGCTAGGTAGGGTGCACTTGCTCTTTTTTTATACACATTGTTAAAACTTAATTTTGGATGCCTTTCATTTTGGAGCTACCTGCTTTAGGCAAGAACAGGGTTGCTGCAATGCCATGTTTAGAGCCCCTGTGGCAGCAGTCTCCTTGGCTCCTATTGCTGACCACCAGTCTGCCTGGCTCACAAACAAGCTGAGGTTTGCTGGCCTTACAACACTTGTCCCAGGTCACAGTTAATTTTCTTGGGACACAAACTCCATCTGGTTTGCCACTCCAGTCCAGGTCCCCTCACACATACTTTTCTTTAAATTTCCTAAGGTTAGGTGTAGAATGCAGTCGGTTACTGCAGGTCTGATATTAGCCTCCCCCCACCCACAGGTGTCCACAGGAAACCGTGTGCTGCCAGGTGGTGTTGATGCTGTTGGTCATGCACACAGCTGGAGTTGGCCAGGACACGATGTGCACCTTCCCGTAGCATGGCACTTCCGGTTCATTTTATCCTTTCATTTTGGAGAAATTCCAAAGCCCTTCATGCTCTTCCTCCCACACCACATGCTCACTTTGAGAGGAATTAGTGTGAGCAGGACCCAGCTTATTCTAGCCGCTAAGGGGCAATTTTGTTTCCTTCTTTTTTGTGCCTGTCAATGCTCCAACTAGTGAAGTGGTTGATAAGCAGCATACAGGTTAAGTGAGGTCCACATTCATTGTACCCACATCTGGGAGAGTCGTTCCTGTTTTAAGCCATCCTGGCTGTGGTCACTTGTTACAGCAGCCTTAGGAAACTGACAAGGTAGCTGTGAGCCATATGGGATGCAGCACTTGATATGGGGCCAGAGAGACTGTGCAACTGAATCTTCATGAAACAGACACATGTGGCTACTGGCGAGCTCACTGGCAGGGTGGCTTCATCAATGGTGACTCCTACCAGAGTGATAATCCCGAGGCTTGTATTGAGTTGAGTCTTTGAATTAAAACTAAGAATACTAGAGAATGGTAAGCACACACTTTATCTCACCATATAATATTAATATATATAGAATCGTTGCTTTAAAGGTTAATAAAATAGCTCTCAGCAGCAATGGTTAACTCCCAAATTACAGTCTGGTCATCTCGCAATATTGTAAAGTGTGCTGGACGAGCACTTAGAACTGTCTGTATATAACTGAGCTAAGAGCCTTGAGCACCGAAATGACAAAGCTAAAATGTTGTTTTTCTTGTTTTGTGATCAAAAAGCTCCATTAGTGGAGTGATGCTATTCAGACTTACTGAATACTGAATTCACAAAGTGTGATGAATTGGCCTCATGAAGTATTCATGAGTTCTCATTTAACGCTAATTAAAAGAAAAGGGGAGCCTATGTTAAATGATTTTAAGACCCTGGCTCAGACTGACAAGCATGGAAAATTAAAGTTCAGAGAAAAATCTGACCCAAAATCACAGTCTAATGATACAAGTTTGGAGTACAATATTTGTCTTTTCTTGTAGTGAACATCTCTAGCCTGCAACATTAAGATAAAATTTAAAAATCAATTCTTTTTCATACTGCATTTAACCAAACTTTAGTGATCCTTTGATCATTAAACAAAACCCATTTGTGTTAGTCACCAAGAGTCTGATTTATGCAAGACAGACACGTGAAGGACGCCTCTGTCTCTAAGGTGGCTGGAACACTCTTGAGGGCATCACAAGGTGCGGCTTTACAGCCAGTTTGCTACACTAGTTCTTTTTCTTTTTTTATTTGGAATTGCTTCTTCATATTGCAGATGGAGAGATTCTTGGTCTATAGTTCATAGGATGGTCTATTTTTTGAACATGGCAGAAGATACCAACTCTGACAACCAACTGATATAAAGGAACAAATTTACTTAGATTAATTCTCGAAATAAGCAGGCAATGTACTTAAAAAAGTAGAAAGCTCATCTGAATTAATAAGGACATGGGTCTACCCGTTCCGGCACACTCAATGCTTAAAGACATCTGTTTTCTAAAGAATCAGCGATTCAGAATTTTAATTTGTTTTAAATAACCTTAAGCTTTTTTGTTTTGTTTTGTCTTGTTTTGTGTCACTGAGACTTGAGCTCAGGGTCTTGCATGTGTTAGGCAGGGACTTTACCACTTGTGCCATACCCCCATTAAGCCTTTATTTTTTTAATTTCTGGTGCGACTGGGGTTTGAACTCAGGGTTTCCTGCTTGCAAAGCAGGTGCTCTACTGCTTGAGTCACCTTCAGTCCACTCTGCTCTGGTTATTTTGGAGATGGGTTCTTGTCAACTATTTCCCCAGGCTGGCCTTGAACACAATCCTCCTAATCTCAGCCTCCCAAGGAGCTCACAGGCATGAGCCACCACACCCAGCTACCTTAAGCTTTTAAGTAAGACACCACATGGGAATTTTAGAGGTGTGCAAACTTTAAAACAGTAGTAGAGGTCTCCAGAAAATACCTAGTGGGATAATGAGAGGAGGACAAGTCTCAAAAGCTCCAAGTGTTCTGAACCTTCAGGTAAGGAGGAAATTCTTACTGTCCAGTGAAAAGCAAAGCGCACTGGGAAAGGGGGGTTAAGAATAATGTTAAGAGTTTCAGTCTGTTCAGGTTGGCATAGCTGGATACATAGATTGGTGGCTGAAGACAAAAGAAATTCATTTCTGAGTCCTGGAGGCTAGGAAGTTCAAAATCAAGTGCTGGCAGATTTGGTGAGTGGGGAGGACACTTTGTGATTCACAGATACCATCTTCTTGTGTCCTCACAGGACGGAAGGGGCAAGGCCTCTTTTGTAGAGGGGGACTAATCCGCATTTATGAGGACTCTACCCTTATGATCTAATTACTTTCCACAGGCCACACCATCTACCACCATCACAGTGAAGGTAAGGATCAACACTGCATATAAATTCTGGAAGGACACAGTCTACAGCACCAACTGTTGCAAAGACTAAAAAAAGAAAAAAACTGTTAATGCTGGTGAACTAGAATTCCTGCTACTCATCAGGAGAGGTCAAAGTCTTACACCCTCTTTCCCAAAAGATAGTAAGACACACTGGAATATTAAGCATTTATTTTCATGTTCACAATACATTAAACAGATAAAAAATATGGAACAATATACATGGTCTCATTTTTCTTTAAAAATAAAACAAGACATACATATGTTAGATAGAAAATACTTGAAAGGATATACACCAAAACGTGAATGAGACCAGTAGTGGTTATGGGAATAAAACTGATACTTATCTTCTTCAGGGTTTTTCCTATGTTGCCTAAGTGGTCTCTGATGAACACTGTCCATTTCAAGTCAGATAAACAATAAAATTATTTTCATTCTGGAGATGTCAGTGGGATTAAAACTACTTAAATCACTTGAAAATAGGATTCATTTTATCACCAATCTACTAGGATCCTCCTTATTATAAAAAGGCAAAGCACCAGCAAATGTATTCTATCAATATATTGTAGATTATTAAGAACAATTTCAACACACTTTTGCTTTTTGAGATTTTTAAAAATTTTTCTCTGGAAATTAAACTTTAAAAGAAAAAATTATATCTGACCGGGTAAATCCCTCTGGGTAAAAAAAAATAATAATAACTGTTTCCTAATTTAACTTATGAAAATGTAGGCATTTTGCTTAAGGTGAGATTTTAATTTAGTCTCCAGAAAGGAATCCACCACACTTTGATTTAGGAAACCAAATGGTCTAGAACTTCAATTGCTGAAAATTAAAATTTGTAATGCACATAGTCAGTGTTTTGCCTTTGTTTTTTACATATTCACTGCAGGTGAAATGTATTCCAGAATTTTAAAGATGAAAATGTATTTCCTAAATAATGACCAGTAAGAGCCACTGCAGATAGAAACAGCTTTATTTTTTCAAATGGGTTGTTCAGAAAGCATATACAGGAGTAAAACCATCACAAACAAATGTGGTTTGCCATATAGTCACTGGTTTTATTAGGAAAAGAAGACACATTTGAATAACTTGTAATCCAAACATTTTCCAACTCTTTCCACTTTATTTCTTTCTTTTCTTTGAAGGTAGCAACAATAGATACATTTTGGTTACCTGTTCATATTTTCTCTCACTCTTATTCACACTGAAATAATACAATGTCTATAAAATCAAATCACTATTTTAGAAATCTGGAAAGGTTCTTTTACATAACAGATTTTGGTATGTTCAGAAATCACACAAAACTGGCATTTGTAAATAGATAAAAAATAGGATGTACTTCTTGAAAGAAAACATAATCTCTTACCCTAAATAACCTCAATCAAATGAATATACTCATCTGATAATATAGCTTCTATATTTTAGAATATAAAAGTGCCCAGATTACATTAAACAATAGGATAATGAAAATCTCAAATAACTGAAATAATTTCAATAAAGATGGTAGCAAAATATTTGCTCCAAGGCAAGGAGGCAGGTGTGACTTTATCTGAAATCAGAAGAGGACTACAATGCTAAGACTGAAAATGCAAAGCTTCTTGCCTTGGAAGATGTAAACGGTCTGGTTCCCACGTGTTGTTCTTTAGATGAAAGTCATTTGCATGAAGTCAGGTGTCTCAGCTACACTGCTAGCCATGTGACAAAGCTGGGTCACCTTTCTTGATTGTCCTTTCTATTCCACTATGGACATCCACTTAGTCAGGGCTTAAAAAAGCAAATACGCTTGCTCGAAGCCACATGTACCGCTAGATCAGCACATTTCTCAAAAACACACACACATGAACACAGCAACGAGGAGAAGAGCTCACACTCAGGTTACTGAAGCTTCACGGAGCCAACCTAGAATGCCAGGCTAGGCAGCACATCAGGGCAGAGATGGGACGGCTAATCACCTTCCTCTCAAGGAACTGAACTGAACTCTGCAGGAAAAGCCCAGAGCACACCACCTACCTCCTAACCACCAAGGGGGAAACAGGACACAATGCAACTGCAGATGAGGACCTGGCCAACCAACACGGAGGGCACCCACCCCTTTTATTTTAGTAGCACTGAGATTACCTTCTTCAGTTTTATTTTGAAATTTCTCTCAAGTTTTAGGCATAGACCATAGTTTCCATTGAGGAAATAAAGCAACACATAGAGCATAATCTTATTTATATTAAAGTTTGCATATATATATATATATACACACACATTCTCTCTCTACACACACACACACACACACACACATACACACACAAACAGTCCTTTTTCTTTCTCTGGATAGGATTTCAGATTACTTTTACTTTCCTTAATGTTTTAATTGCTTACGGTGAGTATCATTTTTATAAAAAAATCATGAAGTGGAGCCACCTTCATTTTAGAGAGAAAACAAAAAAAATTCTAAAGATTCTGAAGGGAAAAAAAAAAGTTCTTGATTCTGAAGGTGGTTCCAAGTCAGTCTCTTAAATATTCTTGGGAGACTATTTTGTAGGTCAAAATTCCAGAAGAGTCAGGATCTTCGCCATCAGAGGAAATGGCTTTCTTCAGTCCCCTGTCCTCAGTTAACAATGCACCTGGCATGTGGCAGAATGAACAGGGATGGTTTACAAGGATGTTGCATTTGTAGACATTTGATTTTTAAGGTCTGTTTTATGACACTTCTTTTATTCTAACTAGCTGAAGGTTATTATTTAATGTTCTATTGAAATTTAGTGGAGGGAAGTTTAAAATTAGTAATGGGATTCAAAGTATGAAGTTTTACAATATGGCTTTTAACAAGATGATCAACAGAAAGCAGAAAATGGACAAAATGGGAGTGAAAAGAGCTGGAAAACTGAACAGCTGGCAGCAGAAGAGGAGCCAGTGGAGAAAAATGGGCCGGAAAGCAGCCCCCAGTTCTCACCTGTTTCCAATGGCTAATGTTCCCCTTGACAGCAGGATTGGCGGAAGGGGCAAAGGGCTCACCAAGTCAGCAAGAGGGAAGGGGGGCTAGCAGATGCCTCAAAATACTTAGAGCAGCACCTATTTTCCAACTCACAAACAGAGGGCCAGAAAAGGAATGCAGATATTAGAGTGACTCCTGCTGACTTAAATGTGGCTAACGGCACAGCTATAAGAGCAATCAGATATTAAGGAGATTTCGCCAATAGCCAGACAAGGGTCCTGACTTCTAGGAATGAACAGTTAGTGTCTATTTCCTTTGGATGAGGCTTATAGCAAGGCAGAAGTTAATGTTTTTCTTAAAAACCTCTGTTTCTTAGATTTTTTTGAAATACAGCGAATAATATGCCACTTGAGTAATTATTTTATTGTCCAAACTGGGATACTTTGAGAACAAAAGGGAGTACAAGAAACAATTATTCTAGGAGGAAAAATGATGCCAAGACAACAGACAGGAGCAGGACCATCTTGGACAAACGGACACTAGAGTGTGAACACTGTCCTTTAGCATTTGTACTTTCTTTTTGCACTATTAAAGCACACAACGTGACACCGGCAGTAATGTGCTGGGAGAGCACAGCGTGGCTCTCTAGAGAAGGAGCATTTCTCAGTGATGGTGCACTCCTTCCATTTTGCCCACACACGCAGGCTTCCCAGCATGAACTAGTGTCCTACTGCATTGGAGGAAACAGTCTGTTGAAATTTCTCTACTAGAACTAAACAACGCAATTGTGATTAAATTACTTAGATTCATTCTTATTTTCACTTCCCAAGACATTAACTAGAAAAAGCTGAGCATTATCTTATACCAGAAATGAACTTCCCAAACGACAACCCAATTTTAAGGTTAGGTCATAGCATAGTTTAAAAATCTTTATATTAACCATGTATTCTCACAAATACATTGCCACAAAATATTTCAAAAAGCTGTGACAGTCAAAATGAAAACATCTGCTTGGAGGACAGCTGCAGTGTCCCCCAGGCACTGACTATGGCGGCAGGGAAGGCCAGAGCCGGGGTAGGAGGCTGAGGGCACAGCTTGCTTTAGTTTCTGAACAGCAGCATCCTTTCGGAGCACGTCTGCCCCACCAGGCTTGCGTACTGTAACACGGTAGCCTCCTCGCTAGGGTCTTTTTGGTGTTTCTTATAAACACCATAAGGCATGATGGCTTTCTTGTAAAACACCTGCATTCGGTCAGGATCCTTGCTGCGACCTTCATCCACTGCAATGACAAAATATGCTGATCAAAAAGTCACGTATCAAAGGCTTTGAATGTCTTAATTTTAAAACATGCAATTTGAAATATAAAAATTATGTATCAGCAGCTTCTCTTGGCTCAGAGTATTCATTGAGAATAAACGGTAAACACCTTACTGGAAAGTAATAAACATCCTGCAATACGACAGCTGAACTTGAAACAGAGACAAATAATTCCATGCCACTGAGAAACTGGTGTCTGTTTTCTGAGGCACAGTAAACTTTTATAACTCTCCAGCATCTTTCCGGAGTCTGGCATCCTGCCTGAAGTTTCAGCACTGTAAGGAAGCTTTCAGCCAACTTAGCAGGTTTGAGGAAGGAAGGTCCTAGCGCTTGCGTTGTGTAGGAGGGCAGCTTCTCACTGCTTCCGTGGGTGCCATGGCAATGTGCTGGTCACTGCTGCTATTGGGCCTTCTCAAGACTTCGCATGGCAGTGCTCTGGAAACACCCTGAGTGATCACCAGTGAAGAACTGGCTACAGAATTAAGTTATATTACACATACCCTCACAGCAAAATGTGGCACAGCTATTAAAAAGACAAAGGAGAAAAGGCTTCAAGAAAAAGGGGGGCACAGAACAATAACTGTCCTTTAGTTAAAGTCTCTAACAGGAGACACAGCTAATCAAGTATTACAGCATACTATTATACTGGACATTTAAGCCCTTGCTGGCACCTCTGACAGAAGGCAAACTCCTATCTTTGGCCAAGGCCTTCCATTTAAGTAAAAAATAAATTATTTTTGCTGGCTCCAAACATCTTTTTAGCAGTCCATGCTCACGGAGTTATTTTCCCTTAGGCAGTCTATTTAACAGGGAGCATTCTGACTTTTACTCCCTCTGTATTCAACTTGATAAAGGTGTCTCTACTTTTAGACTTAAACTCCTTTTACAGAATACCCTCCAGATAACAACTCTGGAATCTCTCCCAAAACAAAGACTGAGGTAATGGTCAACCAGGCCACATCTGTGATTGGAACCATTTACTATACATACCTTGTCCCCTGTCCCCAGTTCTTTTGTCTTAAACCTGTAGCCAAGGTCTGTACCCCAAGGTCCCTTGGTTTTTCTTCTCATGCCGATAACCACTGACTCATGTGTATTTAACTGCATGTCTCACTTTATCTCCTGAAGGCTACATTCCTTTATAAAGGCTGCCACTCAAAACCATGTCCAAAGAATGCTGTTTTTATGTCAGTGCTGCTCTTATGTCAGCCACTCCAGGATTGTTCATGATGCTGCTAAAAGACTTCAGGAACTTGATGCCAATCTCTAATAATGAACAACGGACAGCTGGCAACAGTGGTCTTCCTAGGCTAAATGGATACGATGGGTCTTCCCTCTGCTAGGGCCCCTTATTTTTTCCATTGTGACCTTGCTTTCAAAACAGGAGGGGCTCAGATCTCCTCACAGCTGAGAAAGCAGGCTGTGTGTCTTCCTAGGAGAGGATTGTTGTTTCTTCACCAGTAAGTCTGGCGTATTTAGGGACGGGATAAAGAAAACACTCAGGGATAGGGCACAACAGCTAACATCCTTACAGTCTACTAATATTCCTTCCTCCTTGTACCCACGGCTTATGCTGCTGGAGGTCCCTCTCATCCTTATTTGTCTGGATATAATGTTCCTACCATGCCTCATTAATATCCTCCAAAAATTTTTACAGGAATTTATTACCGCCATTTTTCGGGTTACCTCAGGGGAGCAGTTCAAGGCCATCATGCTTCTACAAACTCTCCAGGTTCGACAACCACCCCCATCATCCCTAGTCAGCAGGAAGTAGCCAGAAGACAGGCAGCACCCCCGTGCCACTTATGTATGTGCATATGTGTGTGTGTATATGTATATATATCAAAGAGCCTATAATGCTGAAATGTTGAGAAACATTGAAACAATGCAAATGCTGGAGAAAGCAACAAGCACAGCTGCCCAACCCCAGTGACCTTCCTACTAATGTCCAGCACCTCCCCTCACCCTCCTTCCCAAGCATCTTACCTAATGTCCATCTCCCTCCAGCCTCCCTTTACCCACCACAGGATGCTTAAAAACCCCAGTCTGTAAGATAGGCATATTCTCACCCCTCTCAGAGTGTTACTCTGATGGCCAAGGGTCCCTCTCAGATCTCCTCTCCCTAATAAAGACCTACTGTTTGTGAAGGTCACAGATTCTTTCTCCATGTATCTCTCTTTTTTGGCTTTTTCACTTTCCTTTCAGACTGGGCAGGGAACTGACTTCCTCAAGACTATTGTCTTATCTTGAGCCTGTTTGTTCTTGGCCTGCTCTGTCTGAATTGCAGGAGGCTGACTTTATAGGGCCAGCTGGTTTCCATTTGGACCCAGCCATAGACAGAAGGCTGGGCTTGGAGGAGAGGGAAGCAATGGCCCTTCTCCCTAAAACTCTTTTGACTGTTTCTTTTGTTTTGAGGCAGGGATCCCTATATGCCCAAGCTAGCCTCAAACTTGCAATCCTCCTGCCTCAGCCTCCTAAATGCTGGGATCACAGGTTGGCTTTGTTTTTTGGCAGCAGCTCTAGCTGCTTGTGGAGTTGATATGGCTCCAGTCTCTCACAGGTAGCCTGAGCCCCCTCTCTAGCCAGGGCTGGCAACAGCTTCCTATTATTGTTAATCTCTGGTCACCTCTTTGTGCCTGTGTGGCTCTCAGCAACACCATTGCCTATAATCACCAACTCTCTGTATTAACTTTTCTCTGTTCTAAATACTTGATATAAGTTTGGATTTTTTTTTTTTTTGGGTGGTACTGGGGTTTGAACTCAGGGCCTCACACTAGGCAGGTGCTCTACCAGCAAGTTTGGTATTTTTGGTTAGATCCTATAACACATGCCAATTTCAAAATATGTGTTATTTCTTACGAATTGCTTTAGCCAACTGAAACAAAAACCCCATGTACTTTAAAATAAGTGGTGAACATCTTCTATGGCACCACTCCCTTATCAGGAGCTGTGGTTCAGGTTCAACAGTTTTTTTTACTCCAAATACATTTGAGGCCTGGACTCACTCAGGCACAAAGCAGTCAAATGCATAATATATTGGTAAAGCAGGTATCAACAAGTTATTCACTATTTAGCAACATACCTAATTACAAAAAAGTGGCATTAATGAATCTTAAAATCTTCTCTTCACTCTCTACACTATTAATGTACTAGAAGCCCTGAAACCTGTGAGATTGTTTTTTCCTGATGCTGGGGATGTTCCCAGGGCCTTAAATGTGCTAGGCCGGCGCTCCACTGCTGGGCTACATCCCAGACCATATTCCAAAGAATGTGGTAGCTGTTCTATCACCAACATACAGGATTAGGCTGAGACTTAAGAGAAATGATCTGTACCAATTTATTGAAACACAAATTAATTTCTTAATAGCCCTATCATCATACTTCAGGTATAAAAAAGGCACTGAAACACTTGGATCCTGTGTGCTGCCCACACCTGTCTGGTTTTTTTTTTTTTTTTTCACCTATTTCCCTGGATTGGTACTCATGATGCCCAGTCACTGGCTCCCACACTTCACCCACCCTCAGTACCCAGGTAAGATCACACTGTTAGCTCTGTACTCATAGCAATTAAAACAGGATTTGCACATTCTCTTAGGAGCAATTAATTTATTCAACTAAGAAGACATATTAAGCTATTAACAAACTTGGAAAGTAAACTTAGAATTCTGCCTTCCTAAATAGAAGTTATCAATCTAAAACTGCCAGTGTTTTAGAAAAAGAGAACACAAATCAACAAAATACAAAGTAACAGAAACAAAGGACAGATAAAGTATGTTTCTAAACTCTTGCTATTTCAATAAACTGAACTCAACAAATTACCTAGGAATTAGTTATCAATGAATTAATAGATACTTAGTAATAAGCATTCATTTTTATATCTTTTTAAAATAATAAAAGTAATGTTTGTTGTAAAGCTCAAATCTCATAGAAACAAAGTAGAAAGATTAACACTGCCCTTCCCCCCATACATGGTTGGTTCCTTACCAACCCCCATCCAAGTTACTGGTGTTATAACAATTTCACGAAATGCATTTAAATATTCAAAGGCACAGTTTTGTATCATATTCTAGCCATACCTTAAATGAAGGGAGAAAATCAAATTACAGCACCCATCAGTGGGCACAGTATATTAATCTCAGAAACCAGAGATTATCATTAGAGACTTAAGCACATTTCTGTTTACTGGGCTTCACAGTCTGTGGTTTATAATTGTTTTGTTAAATCCTCAAGGAAGGCAGATTCTGATTCTGTATATTCTATATAATTAATATCAAAACCAATTAAAAACCCAAACCAAAAAATCTTACCAGATACTTGAAAACACTGAAAATAAGTGATTCACCTACTAAAGGAAAAATGTATCTCAAATCCCTACAAAACCCTTTTATAAAACTGTTTTATATTGCTTGCTTGGTAAATGTCATCAGTGCTTACAGATAAAACTCTACAGAGTTAAACCAATATAGCACAACAGGCTTTTTCTTGGTGGGAACTTGAAGATCAAGAAAAATAAGCTCTTTTGATAGGAAAGATAATTATTATCTCACCTAAGGAAAGCTGTCAGTTTCTTGAGATGTTTTAGAAATATGTTCCAATAAGAACTACTTCACTTTCCTGTATGTATCACAAGTTAACTCCATAAAATGAAAACCAAAGGCAATCCTGAAAACTCTTTCTGAGATGAGCATTTGATCACTAGTGACACAAATTCACCATCAACTTTACATTTTAATCTTTCAGAAACTCCGAGGGGCACTGAGGGCTTGATGTGCCCCCCCCGCCCCCCCCCAACATTTTACACTCAGGAGATGAACTGCACATCACAGGTGCTTTCAAATCAAAAGAATTCAGAGATCAAAGCTTTACTTCTGCTTACAGGGATGTAACTCATTTGTTATTCTTTAAGAGACTTCAACATTTTCTAGGCTTTTCAAAAAATGTTTCAAGAGCCCATTTTCTAAA